AAAAACATAACATTTGAACTCGAATATCTCGAGAGCAGAAAAACTTTGCACTGCCATAGTAACAGAATTAATCAATTTAATATTTGATTATTTGGGATTTTCTCTCCTCGTTTCTATGAAATGAAGATATGAGTAATATTTCAATATACAGGGTATGTCACGACGAGCTTATAGTATCTCTATATCGAGAATCAGTAGAGAGAAATACATGGAAATATGCCCGCTAATATTTCAGAATACGCTCTTTCCATTCAAAATAATTTCAGTAATGCAGTGTTGCCGCTTCTATGAAAAAATACCAACAACTTTGTTATTTCAAATAGAATACCCTGTATTTCATTGCATTTTTGGATTCTCCATGAAGAGATGATTTCATCGATACATCACACTTGGGGTCTATCAAAAATGATTAGAGAGATATTGGGTGTTCAAAATCGAGGTTTTTCAACTTTAGGATTTGTTTCTGTCGAAACTATGCATTATCTGCCAAAACGGCTCACATGTCCCTATCTCAACTCTTGATTTACTATTTACTGATATTTAATCGGAACAGATACAGGGTGATCAGAATTCTGAATCTTGAACCACCCTGTATCTGTTCCGATTGAATATCAGTAAATAGTGAATCAAAAGTTGAGATAGGGACATGTGAGCCGTTTTGACCGATAATGAATAGTTTCGACACAAAAAAATACAAAAGTTGAAATATCTCGATTTTGAACACCCTATATCTCTGTATTTATTTTTGATAGACCCAAAGTATGATACATTGATGAAATCAACTCTTCAGGGAGAATCTAAAAATGCGATGAAATACAGGGTGTTCCATTTAAAATAACAATGTTGCTACTACTTTCTAGTAGAAGCGGCAACACTGCATCGTCGAAAATATCTTGAATGAAGGGAGCGTATTTTGAAATACAAGTATGCACATTCTCATGGATTTCTCTCGGCCGATTCTCGATATAAAGATAGTGTAAGCTTGTCGTGACATATCACGGAAAAAAGGATTTGTTGCATCAACAAATTATTTATGCTTGAGTTATTTTTGTTGGGCTGAGCAATTTTTTGTTGAATCAACCAGATACATGATTATTCCATGGAAGCAGCTTGTTCAAATCAAGAATGTAGTCTAATTGAATCAACAGTATCATATAAATTCCAACAACAAAATATATGCTTTCTTCAAAAACAAATTATGTCGATCCAAAATAATTTCGATGTTGATTCAACCATAAAAATTCTGTTGATTTGATCAAACAATGATCATTTTGATGAGAATATATCTTTGAAACAACATACAAGTTGTCTTATTCCGATGTATCAATGAACTCGTTTCGAACGGATCATTTGCTTGAATAGAGCAACAAAATATGTAATATCAATGAAATATTTTGTTCATTCTACATCAACTCAAATTTTCACCCCTAGATGGCGATCATTTCGCCTCGTCGATGCCTGCCTTGAGTTCATTATATACGTGAAGCCTGATTCTTCGTGTTTGTTATATCAGCTAGATAAGTCGAACTCAGGATGATTATAGCAATCCGAAATAGTTTTCCATCAGCTAAAGAGAAGTAAAGACTAAAGATCTATGCTAGGAGTCGACTAGTTTCCTAGTTTTGTTAGTTATTCTGTTGATGTGAAATTTCAGAAAATTCCCGAATATTGAATTTGGTTCAACAAAACAATTTGTCGAATGGATATATAGTTTCTCTTGAATCAACAAAATATTTCATTGAATTAACCAAATATTTCATTGAATCAACCAAATATTTCATTGAATCAACCAAATATTTATTTGAATCAACCAAATATTTCGTTGAATCAACTAAATATTTGATTGAATCAATATCTTGTTATTTTGAATCAAACAAAATGTTTGTTTGAGTCAATTCAATATCTCTTCATAAACAATTCATGGATGTGCTTGATTGAAGAAGATCCAGAGTTCATGCAAGACATATTTACTTGATTCAAACTCCAAATTCGCTCTGAAACAAGACATAGATTTACTCATTTCAAGATTATATTTTGTCGTGCATATATGACACTTTTATTTGCTTTATTCAATTACATTTTGCTTGATTCAATGATTCCTTTTTTTCCGTGATACCCTGTATGTGTATAGTTGGAGAAATCAGATGATTTGCCCCAAACTCCCACTGCGTTTAAAAAATTTTTCTAAAAGAAAATTCCGATAGTTTGTCAGTTACACTTTGTTTGGAAAAAAGTTTGAAGAGAAGAAATATAGGTATATTGAAAAGAATTTTCACTTATCTTTGGACGTTTTGGGAACGAATCTGCTCTTGTTCTCAACATAAAAATGCAAAATATTTTTCTTCGAAATTTTTTTCTTCATAGTTCGATACCTCTCAGTGACTAATATACTGTTGTTGGCAAAGGGATGAGTTATGATGTTAGCATACAAATGGGTTACAGGATGTTTATATCAATTGATCTTGAATTTAACATTTCAATGTTCAGTTTTCAGTAGTGAATACCGTGTTCTGTCTATGTGGACTGAATGGGAAGCAATGCTATCGTCTCCGTTGAGAAAAATGCAATAGGATACCTTGAGTTTTCTCTTTTGATTGTTATCTTCCTTTCCTATGATTTTAATATTGTGTGTCAAACAATAACAAAAACATTCATGTTACTTGATTTTTTGGGATTTTCTCTTCTCGTTTCTTTTACATAAAAATATTCGGATTATCTCAATACAGCGTGTCTCACTTTAAACGACCCCCCCTCTATATCTCAGTTATTAGTCATGCGAATCCAACCAAATTTGGTGTGGTATGAATAACCATCAATATGATCAGTCTTACAGGGATGCACGTTATTTTGAACAGTGCCGTGCGTTTTTATTTATCTAAAAAGGGGTCAATTTTTAATAAAATCATATTAGGCATTTTTTTACAGGAAATCTAACCTCATATTATTGTTCCTCATTCTTTCGAACCCCCATATGCAAAAAATCACCTGATTCCGAATTAACAGGATTGGCTTCATTTTTTTCATTTTCAGTCTCGAATAAATAGTGATTTCAAATCAACTACGAATAGTGACTTCAAATCAACTACGAATTATAGAACGTTCAATGCCTCCGGTAGATGTAAAATCATTATTTGGAAGGAAAAGAGAGTTATACTTTTGTATGTTGAACTCACCGTTTCCCAGTAAATAATTATTACGTTCGCATAAATGCTGTTTAGTGCCTGTTTTTCTGAAACCCTCCATAGGCATTTCATGTAAATCCACGTATGTGGGTATGAAACTATGAAGAACAATATTATTAGGTCAGTTTTCCTGTGAAAAAATGCCTCATATGATTTAATAAAAAACTGACCCCTACACATTCCAATAAAAATGCACGGCACTGTCTAAAAAGATGTATCTCTTAGAAGGACTGGTCATATTGATGATAATTCATACCGATACAAGTTTGGTGGAGATCGGACGACTGATAGCTGAGATATAGAGGGGGGCCGTTTGAAATGAGACACGCTGTATATTTGTAGTGGGACAAATCAGATGATTTGCCCCAAAATGTCATTGCTTTCAACAAATTTTTCTATCAGGGAATCTGAAAGAAGAATCCAGTAGCTTGTCAGTGACAATTTGTTTTAAAAAATGTTCGGAGGAAAGAAATATAGATTCATTGAAAAAATATCGAATTTTTACTTATCTTTGGACGTTTCGGGACCGAATCTGCTCCCGTTCTCAACATGTAAATGCAAAATATTTCTCTCTGAGAGTTGTGCTGCTTATAGTTTGACACACTACATCTCTTCTCTTCAAACACTGTTCCAAACGCAGTGTCACTGACAAGATATTGGAATATTCTCTCAAGTTCCCTGATAGGAGAATTTGTTGAACGCAGTGACATTTTGGGGCTAATCATCTGATTTGTCCTACTACACATATATTGAAATATTATTCATATTTTTATTTCATAGAAACGAGGGAATAAAAACACAAATAATCGAGTAAATTGAAAGTACCACCTCCTCGATTCAACTACAGACAGGATTAAATCACCTTCGCAATGATGTATAACATGACCCTTGCTTCCTTTTCAAATTATAAAGGGAGTTGCTGTGAGGAATAGATGGTTGAAGTATGCATTATCTATCTTCTTTGCGTCAAACGGTGTTTCCTGCCAAAAATAATCGACTTGTTCCGTTGTTTTTTTCCTCGTTTTTTTCTAATTATTTTCTGTGTAATTATTTTTTTTTCAAGTTATCAAGGGTGCGATGGATAGTCATAAGTGGACTATCCGCTCACCTTTATATAGGTACTAGACATTCTAATAAAGGTTCATATTTTGAAATTGTATCTAATTGAAATAGCTTGATTAGTTTGTACTTGCAATTTCATTTTTAATGACGGTGAGTATGTTTGAAGAAAGTAAACTTCACTTTGTCGGATCTTATAGTCTGTATGAAAACATTAATATATATTCTACTTTTATGCTGGAAACCGCATTGAAATCGATCGTGAAGTGTCGTAGAAACATGGCTGCACAAGAGAACAAACTCGAATCGTTACTAGATATTCCACATGGAAATATACCCGCTTTTCACCATTATTCCTTATAAAATATTGCCCTTCTATTCATATCTTTCATCATTTTCAATTTTGAAGAAAATATTCGCAGTTCTTTCATTTCAGTGCGACACATCTTCTTCAGGTACATTTTCAGTAGGAGATTCTCAATGCAGATGGTTTCATCGTCACATTATTTCTTTCTCTATATAATGATATGAAAAATATTGTTGACCTACAACAGTCTCTTTATATAGGCTTGGTCAATTTCCTATATATACTTATGGACAATGTAATATTCCTTTTATCGAAACTAACTGAGGAAATAGATAAAAAACATCAATACTGTTCCAATGAAATCATAGAGGTCTATATTTCATCACTCTATTGGACGCCTGAATTCGTTTCAATCAATCGATATCTTTTTCCTTTAGCACTAAAAAACTCACCTTTAGCAATCCTCTGCAGGATTATTTCCTTGTGCTGCTCGGTATACGGCTCCCCGATGACGATCAGCAAGTAACACCCTGTAAGGGGACTAGGGGGCTGTGCCACCCCTTTATCCCCATCCCCCAACAGCCCATTCACCGCTTCCATCCCCCCGAAATCTCCCAAACGACCCTGTCTTCAATCACAGCCCCCGATACGAAAAATCTGAATTTTCCGGTTCTTCTTTTTTTGTGGAAAAATGTTCTGAAGCCGACCCTGTAGCGAGGGCCACTCTCGGAATTGCGTCCGGGAGCCCCTTTCGTTCGCGAATGAAGGCCCAACCGGTGCGCTATGCGGCGGTGCTCTTGTCTTTCTCTCGGTTTGCTCCACTCCCCCCCACCAACGGGGTTTTCCCCTGGACGCGCACAGCTGGAGGCGTCGCGACGCTAGAGCAATGTCGGCGGTAGAGGGTTGGATTGTAGGGTGACTTACCCCAATCCTTTGAGTCGAGTAATGAAAGTTGAATAAATACTGTCAGTAGGTTAATCGAGGAGGTGGATTCATTTTACTTGATTTTTTGGGATTTTCTCTCCTCGTTTCTTAAAATAAAAATACGCGTATTATTCAATAGTATATTATGTAACAAGTGTTTTAAACGTCTTTTTAGTAACGAGTATTTTAAGCACGAGCGGAGCGAGTGTTTGATAAACGAGTGTCTAGAAGAGTTTATAAACGCGTTACATACTCTGCTTTTTCTACGTACTCCGAAAATCACAATTAACATACCTGCTATTCCTGCTAACCTACAAAATATTTCGAAAGGAATGGGAATTGAGAACATAATACATGCAACTGCATGCAACCAGCGAGACGCGTATAAGTGATATTGGTTGTAGATGTGTCCAGTCCATTGCTTACTAACCTTCGTTTCACGTTTATTGTCATGCTTAGCGCAGAATAAATAAATTGTTCTCGAAGATGGATGCTTCATTTCAACACTTCTTGGAGATATGCAACTACCAGAACATTCTCTTCGATTTCACTTCCGTCTACTTTTCGCATATATTCTTAATGAGGAATACTGATACAAAGGAAAATAGTTTGAATAATTCTGATACAAAATTCGAAAATTACAGTTGACATTTAATTCAATTGACAGACCATCAGACATGTTTCAAATTACTGAAGCTGTGTTTAATGAACTGTGTGGCCATGGTAATGTGTTTGAGAAATCGTGTTGCCATGGTAACGTTTAATAATTTGAATAAATCACAGATCGACAATCCGAGATTAATCGATCATTTAGGGTGGTACTTATATCCGTTCGCTAAATACCATTTTAGTTATGTGAGTAAAAAAATATATTTGTTGTGGGACAAATCAGATGATTTGCTCCAAAATGTCACTGCGTTTAACACATTTTTCTATCAGGGAGCCTGAAAAAGAAATCCAGTAGCTCATCATAGTGACAATTTGTTTGAAAAAATGTCTGGAGGAAAGAAATATAGATATATTGAAAAAAATTCGAATTTTTACTCATCTTTGGACGTTTCGGGAACGAATCTGCTTTCGTTCCCAACATGAAAATGCAGTTCAGAAAACTGATTAAATACGCTTCATTAGATAGTGACACTGTAAAGAAGTAGAGAATGAAATAATGAAAGTGTAATCAGTATATCAGCACCTCCATATCAGTATATTCTATTCAAATATGTTGTGTATCTTCAATTTCTCAAACCACTATTTATTTTCTATTTTTCAGTTTCACTAACTATACAAAAGTGAGTTTTTCAGTATTCTAATATTTCTTGTAAGTACCCAATTCCAACTAAAAAATCTCCCCGGAAAACACCAAATACACAAGTTTCGATTGGAATCGGATCATAAACACAAAATTCATCCCCCATATTGAATTCGTCATGTTGAATTTCGCAGCACCCAAACATACCCTGAAACAGTTGGATTCTGTCTAAAAAAAGCCAATTCGTCTTGTGGGTGATGCCTCGCTCACAAACTCACTCACTTCTCTGGAACACCGTAGAAAAGTTGGCGATCTGGCTCTATTTCATAGATATTTTCATGGACGATGCTCTTCTGAAATATCAACAATTGTTTCTCCCTTGGCAGTCTCCGCGAGATTAACCCGTCCAGTTGAGGCTTCGCACCCCTTCGTGGTCACTTTGGAGACCTGCAGAACATCTCTTTCCAAAGACTCGTTCTTTCAACGAACAGCGAAGCTCTGAAACAAATTGCCAAGGGAGGTGTTCCCCGAGGCATATAACCTCCAGGAATTTAGGAAAAACACCAATTCCCACCTTATTTCCCTTGGTTCTCATGATGTTCTCTGAACATTACAGGATATCCCTTTTCGTGGAAACCAGAACATGAAAAAAATCTGAAAGACCCTGAAAATGCTCAAGACACCAATTTTGAATAGAATCGGAACATAACTACGAATTTCGTTCGCCATATTGAATCCGCCATTTTGTGTTCTCTAATTTTGACGGAAGAATCATAATTTCCGAATCCGAGAACCCATAGTCCGCCATCTTGAATTTCCTAATTTTGATGTTCGAATCATAATCTCTGACTGTAAAAACTCTCAGATGCCAATGTGGATTCAGTATCAGATTATAATTACGAAACTCGTCTGCCATTTTGTAGCTGCCATTTCGTTTTTCTGACTGACAAAAATTTCATGATGCATTGTCACCAGAATCAGGTCGTTACCACTGATCGGTGGTAACGATCAGGTACATGCTGAATCAATCGAAATGGGTCAATAGTATCCCTAATAGCACACAACGTCCTAGGGACGTCCCTATTTGGTACAATTCAAGTCCGAACGTCCCGGACCAAAAATATTGGAACGTCCCATCCCGTACATATCATGCAATGTCCGAGCAAGGACGTCCACGGAATGTCCCAGCTGCTACATCATTTCAAATGTCCTAGAAATAGCATCCCTTAGACGTCCCACGTGGTCATATTGGAGAATGTCCATGCAAGGGCGTCCTTGGCATATCCCTGATGGGATATGATTTTAAACGTTCTTCTAGGGACATCCATCGGATGTCCCGAGTAGTACATATTCTGGCATGACTTCAGATCTTATATAATGTCCCTTCTAGACAACCATGAAATGTCCCTGATGGTACATTCCTGCAAATATCTCTGCACAAACGCCCTGAATATTTCCAGGATCGTGTAAAAATCCTTCGAATGTCCCTTAGGGATATCCGTCGGATGTCCCAATTGGTACATGAACTGTACTCTTCCAATGTCCTGAAAATAACGTCCTACGGACGTTCCAGTCGGTACTTTCAATATGTTGTCCCTGCGAGGACGTTAACTTACACCTCGCCGACGAATGATTGCTCGTAGGCTATAAATACTTCCCGTCAATGTCTTTCACGTACGTCCATTAGACATCCTTGGGAAACTTTTTCACGATCTATTGGGGACCTTCTACGGACCATCAACTCAACTGGATGTTCTTATCTGTTATGCAAGATCTGGCCCTAGAAGGACCTTGAGAAATTAGAATTCAAGAATAATTTGTACGTCCCTGGAATATCCTATGGACATCCCATTGATATCCTTCAGCGTTGCTGATAGGTTGTCCTACGGATGTCCTAAGGATGTCCTCCGTAGTGCTCGATGCGGTATGCTGTAAGATTTAGGTATTCGATAGTACCAAATTCGAACGTCCTATGGACGTCCTGAATGTCCCGACAGGACGTCCTAAGGATATCCATGGGACATTATTGTGTTATTGAGGATATTACGTAATATGTGATGTAATAAGCATATTACGCACGAATGGAAAAGTTACGAACCATATCGCGGAGCTGAATTATAATTCTGAATAATAATTCTTGATAGTAATGTCATCCGCTGTTGATGGCGGGTCTTCGATCTATGATACTACCAAGGCCTTATATTGTTCATAAAATAATCAATACGTCAGAAACAACAATCGATTGCGTTAGGAGTTCTTGAACAACAAACTGTAACAAAATTATAGGTGTCACAATATTTTTGTCGGTAAGTGTATGCACAGGTCAAACTGAGAGGACTATTCACTTCAAATGAATACCAATATTTGAAAAACAAATTACATCCGACCAGATCAACTTCCTGGCATAACTGTATATTATCAATTAATTATTTTCCGAATCAGACAATGAAGCTAATGAGTATTAAATTCTCTGCTAAATTGAGCACTTTTCTATTCGCATTCCTCATTTCAGTCAATTAAATCTGCCGTTCGTTCATCATTAATATAATAGTAATAAATAACCTTAATTCTTACGAATCACCTTCACCCAGACAAAAAAGAAAGAGAATTTTGAACATATTATTATTCTAATATTGTTATATGGGTTAAGTGAATATGTCATATTGATGAATAATTTATGATCATATACGGGGTGTGCCGAAATTCGCTCCGTGCACTCAGAAAACATGGTTAACTAAATCGCTTAGTTGAAATTTCTTCAGTACAGATAATTCAAGAAAAATCATATTTTTATTAACAACAAGATATCCCTATTTCCTTTGAAAAAAGTTGCTATTTTCATCTCCTATTTGTCATTGATGAAAATACTTCTTACGACAAAATTATTACAGTGCTTCACATTCGATTAATTAAAAATTTTTGTATGGGTAATGAACTCTTGTTCTAGGGGTACTATATGAACAGCTATCTATTTGCTACAACTGATATTACATTCATCAAAAATTGTCTATTATTATTCACAGCAAAACTGTATTAGTCATAACTGAAACTAATAGTTGAACTGCGATATTCGGGATGACTCGGGACATCTCGAAAGCGATCAAAGCAAACATCGCGATTTATATCGTTTCTACCATTTCGATCTGATGAAGAAAGGTCATCGATACTGAGCATTTTGAGTGAAATTTCGATTTTTGTGTTGTGCATTTAGCTACCTATACAAACTTCAGATCATTAGAAACGAATCTAAATTGTATATCCACGCTTTTATCATTCTTGTCTACATCTTTATTTTTTGCATGTTTTGAAAGACAATCGGTCAATCTGTGTTGTGATATTGTGATTGGTACCGACCCACGAATTAGAAAATAGTTCCTGAAACTGACCATACTGACTATCATTCATCGTGGAAGTGTGATACGTACAAACAAATAATATTTGATAATCTTGTATGAATATTAACGTTGAATTAAACGGAAAATATAGATATTTTCTCAAATTCATTCCAATTCAATTCATCCTAATCAAATTTCGAGTCATATTCTTATACTTGAGCATTTGCACAAAGATATATTCAGAACAGAGTAGTT